GAATGATTATGACCCGCCATATAACAAACTTATAAAAAACATACCTTTAGAAATAACAGGAGGGACAGAATAGCGAGCATAATTTATCAGTAATTTCATTAAAAAAAACTCCGATCTTCTTTTCTGCCAAACAGGAAGAAGAAGAAGAAGCTCAATCACGAAGTCTCTGTCTATAATCCAAATGGCATCAACTTCCTGCCAGGATACAACGGACCCCCGAAAACACACGAAGACGATGACGCTCACGTGTACACCTCCATCGACGACACACTCGTCTACACACACCTGCTGAAAAAGGGTGCAGATATTGGCATCTATGGAGAAACATACCAACATTTCACGGGACACACAGACTCTCAAAAGCCACTGCTCTCATCACAGAAGGGTCCTCCACTTCCCAACAGGTCTCCGGGCCAAGAACAAACCCTGATGGACCAAAGTGAGGACGAACAGTCTTCAAATCTGGGGCCTCGACTGGAGCCAGAGGGCGGCAACTGAGCAGAAGATTGGACTTGACTATTTGATTTTTCTCTTGACCCACTTGGACTTTGGGATATTTATTCCCCGTGTGTTTGCTCGCTGTTCAGACCCACAAAAGTCGCTTTTTTTGCATTGAGTGCAGCTTTTGCACTAGAGTGAGGCACACACAAACAGCTTCCAAACCTGTCTGCAGCTGTTACAGCGTTTTGTCTCAGGTTAAGGTTCTTCTTTTTCAAAAGCAGCTCAAGATCAAGTGATCATTCCTTCTACACAGGTTTTTAGTTTTTATAAAGAGGTCTTCTGTTGCTTTCAGGCAATGAATGTTTTCCATTTGTGATATTTTGTAAATACATTATATCGTTATCAGAACACAACGGTCTGGACTGCAGCAGCCGTATGTTGTAGCAGCATGTCCTTCTGTTGTTCATTGTTGCTTTTTGTTTTCTAGCTGTAGCGTCATTACACCATAAATGAGCCTTACAGATGGGTCAGGCTCCCTTTAGAAATTAGTAAAGATCTTATAGTTGTTTTCAGTCATTTGTGTTACTGGGATGGTGCCAAACTAAAACCGAGCATTTGAGAAGCTCAAGCTTAAAGTGCTACTAGTGCATACTGAGACTGTATATCATGATCAGCACTGATCAGTAGTTAAAAAAACTGTTTCACCATTTGTTGTGAGGACAGACACAGCCCCTCTTTTGGATTACGATGAGAAAAATTTACATTTATTTGCATTTATTTAGTAGTGAGCTGTAAGATATTGCTGTTTAAATGTCCCTTATTCTAGCATGAGCCTAAACACGAAAGAGAAAAGTTTTCTTTCAAGGCATGCGTCTGTCCTCTTTGAGGAAAAGTGCTTCAGAAGGACTTTGGTCTTGAAAATTCCTGTTCCCTGCCGAGCGTGGCCATAAATGTTTTACAGTCTCAGTGGCTCACAGTGAGTAAAGAAACTTTAGAGGAGCCTTTAAAATCCGGAAGTTTGGAAAT